TCCTCCATGGTCTCCGGCAGGATGGAGGCGCTCTCCCGACCCACCACCGCCACCAGGCCGCTGTTCTGGGAGAAAAACACCGGCAGGTTGGCACAGCAGCCTCCGCCACGTACTCCATCGCCTGGACAGACAGAGAGGGAAATTAACAGGTCTTTTCTATCGACCTCCTTTTTTAATCCCAAACAAAAAGAAATTCATATATATGGATACATTATTAAACCCACTACAAGGAGATTTTGATGATTTAATGCTGATGCCTCTATAATATGACCTTAAGCCTTAATGTCTGTTTCCAGGTCGGATTTACCTTGAAATCAATAATATGAGGAGGTATAAAAGCTTCTGCTTTTGTCCACAGGGGTCGCCAGAATCAACACAAAATGAAAGTTCCTTGTTTCTGCTTTAAGATACTTTTTTCCCCACGGGTACTCTCTTCATGATCAGTGAACAATACATATAAAATTCTAAAATTTACAAAAATAATTGATTTTATGTCATATTTACTCAGTCGTTATTCTTTGTTATCATCTACTCTGTCGCCTTGTTGTACTAACCTGTAAGATCTTTACTAACTGACATCTTAAGGATAATTTTAAATCATATCTGCTGTAATTCTCCTTTCTATAAAATCATCATCATCATCATTCAGAGATCTCAGAGAGCTTCTTTTCTCACCAGGTGAGTTAAAGCTGATTTTCTCATCAGGTAGTCCTCCCCTGCTGGTTCCCGTCGAACACGCAAACACCAGCTCCTCGTTATACAGGAAGGCGGTGGAGCCGGGAGAGCGCGGCAGCACCAGCCGAGTGGCCTGTAGGGCCTCTTCACTCTGAGGAAGAAAGACATCGCAACATTTTAAATATATCTTCTAAAACTAAATCCACCGCTGCGGCATCAGGATCAGGACTCACGAGGAACGGAGGGTTGTACTTGGTGACTTCCACAGTAAACTGCTCGGAGATTGCGGCTCCGTCGTCCTGCAGGGTGACGAGGCAGAAGTAAGCCAGGCAGGGAGTGTCTGACGGGTGCCAGGCTGCAGCCAAAACCACCAGGCCGGCTCTGAAAACACACAGCACAGACGGCGGCTCAGTTCGGCCTGAGAGATACTCTGTATTTTATATTAGATCCTCATTTTAGTGACGGATTATTATGAGTCTCAAGCTGCCGTTTGTTGATTCTTTTATTATTATTTTCATTCTTAATTTCCACCTACGCTTAAAGTAACACAAAAGACCACGAAAGTCACAAACACACTCACTGGCTGAGCTTCATATCGAGGTACGTCACATTCACTCCCTCCTTCATCTCCTCGTAGTTGCTCTCCGAACCCTGGCGGGAGAGAAATGTTGAGAGATGTTTTCAGATATGAACGTGACAGACGTCTGCAGTCCTGAAGCTTTGAATGATGAACCTAGTTTTAGTTTAGATTTAATATAACTATAATTATATTATGATAACTATAATAATCAGCTGTATACTGCTGTACTGTGCCACTGTGCCGCACTGACTCAGGCTGATACACAGCGTATACCATCACGTGTATCTTCGTACTGACCCAGATGGCGTCTGCGATGCTCTCTGTCAGAGCTCTCTGGGTGTCCCAGCTGAGGATCTGGTGCTCGTAGCTGTCGTCCACCTCCCATTTACTCAGACTGGAGCTGGTTAGCGTGTACAGGCAGCTGGCTCCGCCCACCCACAGCACGCTGTGGAGCTGCAGCAGGAAACAAGAGACAGAGTGAGGTTGGAGCTGTTCACCGTCCGAACTCAAGTAAACCAGCAGCAAGCACGGTCTCTATTGAGGGAATTTAAACACACAAACACATAGATTGTATTTATTTACAGTAGAATCTGTTAGCGTGACTCACTGTGTCGTTGGCTGGCGGCGAGAGGATGCCGAACAGGCTGGAGACACGGCGTCCGATGCCGGAGAGCATCCCCTGACCCTGCTGCAGAGCTCGGTACTGAAGCTTCCCCGAAGAATCTGCACTCGCTCTCAACAGCCGACTCTTCACTGAGGACAAGACGAAGCTTCCTCCCTGAGAGAAGAGAGAAAAGTTCCCCGGGGATGAATTAAAAATAAAAAAAGACTCACGTGGATTCACTGTTAGCTGCTGTATCAGAGTTTGAGGTTTAAATCTGATTTATTGAAGATTCACTGACTCTGACAGCGACAACAAAGTTGCACAGATCTCCCAGGTCCACGTCCGTCTCTGTGTAGTTGCCCTCCTGGGCGAGGCTGGGCCACAAGCGAGCCGTTCCCTCCGCAGCCACCGCCAGGACGGAGATGGACTGAACGCCGGCCGTCTCCAGAGGAGCGGCGGACGCCACGGCCACGAGGTCGGCTGTGTAGTTGTACTCACTGCTGGGCAGCTGGAGCTCCTTACACACCGACAGCTGCAGGAAAAAAACACGCAGAGAGTCGAGCTTTCTTCACACCAAAAGTTTCCCAGAATGCAAGATGACAAACTTGTTGTTTTTGCTACTTGCAGCTTTAGTTTCCGGATGTTTTTTTCGGCAGAAGAGCGACTCAACCGTACCTTGGCCACGGCCGTCTGGCAGATCTTCCAGATGATCAGCTGCTCTCCACAAACCATCCAGGCCCAGCCGCTCTCGTTCACCTTCACCGAGATCTGGTCGTCAGCTAGAAGGACCGACACACACAGAAATGTTCAGCAGCTGGAACGTAAACTCCCCCGGACAGACGACATCAACGAGGGAGGGGGGGGAACTGGAATATATATACACACGACTCCACGTTAAAACTCTTTACCGTCAGCCATCGTCAGAGCCTCCATCACTTTGACAGGCAGCGACGAGCCGAAGGTTTGCACATCGTAGTTGATCGGTTCGGCGCCTGCGTGGCTCTGCAGTCTGGTGGGCGTCGACCTGGTGGCGACGGAGAAACAGTGAATATTCTCGCTCACAAACATACAACCCAATATATTGATCTCCTGAGTTATTGGTGTGTAAATAGTACAGACTCCAACATAAACAACAGGGATAAATACGTGTCCCTTAACTAAATATAAAGTGACTCCAGTATGATTTATTGGAGTTTTTAAAAGCATATTTTTTTATGATTATCGTGATAATGTCGTGTATCACAAATATTCCATGTCTTCTGTATTGATTAATGCTTCCAATATAGCCTCATTAATAATCAATAATAGCAGAAAACACCTCTCAGTGAGCATTACTAGTCAAGAGCTGCCACAACAGTGATCATACAGCGGAACCAACTCCTAAATCTGAACATAATAATAATAATAAAATAATAAAAAAAATATATAATAATAATAATAAAATAAATAATATAATAATAATTAAATTTAATGAATAATATAAATAATAATAAAAAAATTAAATAATATAATAATAATAAAATAATAGTAATATAATAATAATAAATAATAATAAAATATTAATAATAATACAAATAATATAAACAACAATAATAAATTAATTAAAATAATAATAATAAAAACAACAATAATAAAATAATAATAATAACAATAATAATAATAATAATAATAATAAAATAATAATAATAATAATAAAATAATAATAATAATAACAATAATATAAAATAATAATAAATTAATTAAAATAATAATAATAATAAAATAATAATAAAATAACAACAACAATAATAACAATAACAATAATAATAATAATAACAACAATAATAAATGTAGGCCTGCTGCATTAGATCGATAAGTATCGATAAGGTCTCTAACTCCAATAGAACCAGGGTCCCGGTCGCACTCGCCTCGCCGACAGAGGCGTCCTCCGCGGGGAGAACATCAGACCGGAGGCGCTCTTCCTCCCGGTGGTCCGACCCGGCTGCCGTCGGCCGGAGCTCGGGGCGGTGCGGGGGCTGAACATGCCTGCTGTGGTTGCCCCGGGTTACACCGATTAACGGTGGAAGAAGACGTGTTGAGGTTAAATCCGTGAGAGTCGAACCGGAGCCGCCAAACCGCCGAACCGTACAGACACAACGCGCGCTGCTGTCGCTGGACATATACGTCAGAAAGCCACGCCCACCGGAAAAACGGAAGTTTAAAAATAAACATTTAACATTTTTAAATTAGTTTTTAATAACATAACATCAAAAAGATATTAAATTATTAAACCGTAAAATTATAAAACTATTATACTATAAAAATATTAAATTATTAAATTAGTTTAACATCAAAAAGATATTAAACTATAAAACTATAAAACTATAAAACTATTAAATTATAAAATTATTAAATTATAAAAATATAAAACTATACAATTATAAAATTCTAAAATTATTAAACTATAAAACTATTAAATTATAAAATTATTAAATTATAGAAATATAAAAATATTAAACTATAAAATTATAAAACTATTAAACTATTAAACTATAAAAATATTAAATTATTAAAATATAAACCTATTACCATTAAATTATAAAAATATAAAATTATTAATTTAAAAATATAAAATTATTTAACTATTAAACTATTAAACTATTAAATTATTAAATTATAAAATTATAAAATTATAAAACTATTAAATTATTAAAATATTAAAATATTAAAATATTAAAATATAAAATATAAAACTATTAAACTTTTAAATTATAAAATATATAAAACTATTAAATTATAAAAATATAAAACTATTAAATTATTAAAATATTAAAATATTAAAATATTAAATTATAAAATTATTAAATTATAAAACTATTAAACTATAATTATTAATTTAAAACTATTAAACTATAAAATTATAAAACTATTAAATTATTAAAATATTAAAATATTAAAATATTAAATTATAAAATTATTAAATTATAAAACTATTAAACTATAAAATTATTAAATTATAAAAATATAAAACTATTAAACTATTAAACTATTAAATTATTAAATTATAAAATTATAAAATATATAAAACTATTAAATTATTAAATATATAATTAAAATGTGTTTTCATTTAAAATTTCACCGCGCGCGTAAAAGACCGATTCCAGACACAGGCAGTGGATCGCCGATCGTTGTGATGATGAGGAAGGAAACCAGGCAGACGAGCCGATCACCGAGCTCAGGGGGCGGACGACCACGATGAGCGGCAACGACGAGCTTCAGCTGGAAACTGAGTCGCAGTAAAACCCCGGCGGCTTGCTCACAGTAACTGAGGACAGGGAGGAAGCACGATATGCAGTGAGTATCGATTAGGAACCGGCGGGGCCACGGAACCGGATCGATCCCGCTAAAAAGTTCGTGAGGCCCGCGGGCGCTAACGTTAGCCGGTTAGCTCCGCTCAGCTATCAGCCTCTAAAGTGGAAACCTGCCGCGCTTTTAGGATGGATTACCGACCGGCTCCGGTTGTTTCAGGCTCCTGCTTTAATATCATATACAGTAAAGCTTAATAAACAACAACAGTGCTGGAATTCAATGTGCAATGTGCTCATATAGCATGTTAAAGCTACATGTGCAGGGTTAATGCGCGATGAGAGGGAGCAGGTTGTCCTCCTGCTGCTCTTCATCCTTGGTACCAGGAGGTGCCAGGAGGTGCAGGAGGTGGTTTATACAGTCCACTGTGGACCTGGACTTGTAGAGAACCAAGAACCAGAAGGTAGCCATCGTGTGTGGGACACCTGTCGCCTTCCCAGCACCCGTAACAGTGTGGATCAGGTGGCTTTTATCCTCTTTATGTTTAAGTTAGTGTACCTGAGGACGTAATTTACTTGTTTACATTAAAAACATTCAGCTTTCAAAGGAAGTTCAAACGTCCCAACAGGGTTTTTACTGTCACAGAGACGAGGAATCGGGTTTAAAAGACTTTACCATCGTCTTCTACAATCATTTATGTACTTAGAAATACTTTATATTGAACCGTTTTGATCTTTTGTGTCACTTTTCTCTGTTTTCAGGCCATGAAGCGGGTTCGCACTGAGCAGATCCAGTATGCTGTGGCTCAGTACCTGAAGAGGAGGCAGTATGTGGACACCGATGGCTCCCTGAAAGGAGCCAAACTCTTCCAGTCGGCTGAGGAGATGGCTGCCAGCCTCACAGGTGAGCACAGAGGAAAGACCTCTACATCCTGGAAAACCTGGAAATATGGAGACTAGTTTTCAGGCACTATTAATAATATATATTTAACACTCTCTCTCCTCTCTCTCTCTGGTTCTCTGAGCAGTACAGACAGAGTCTGGTTGTGCCAACATCGTCTCTGCTGCTCCCTGCCAGTCCGACCCGCAGCAGTATGAGGCTCAGTTCTCCCGGCTGCGCTCCTTTCTGTCAGGTATCACATTCCTGCTTCACAGTCACTGAATTCCTGAGCTGAAGACGAGTGTGTACTTACACAGCACGCTTTTAAAATAACGGATAGTAACCAGTTAAAATGTGTGAGTGGTTTGGAACGTAGAATATATACTTATTTAAAACAATGTTTTTTATTTCTCCTAAATCAGAAACAGAAATTTCCTGGGCGAAGGAGGTGAGCGGCATCCTCTACCCGCTCTTCGTCTACCTCCACCTGGACATGGTGCACTGCGGCCTGAAGGGGGCAGTAGATGGTTTTTACAGTCGTTTCCACGGTGCCTTCCTTCAGGACAGCGAGCAGCGCGCCACCATCGAGCAGCTCCGCCACGTTCTCACCACTCAGGACGTCGCAGCCAACCCCAAGCTGAGTGCTTTCCTGGAGCACAAGTACGTGGTTCACCTGACGGAGCCCGCCTACAGCTACCTGCTGCGTTACCTGCAGAGCGAGGACAACAGCGCCCTCTGCAGGGCCTTCAGCACGCACCTGCAGGTTGAGGTCACCGCCTCCAGGCGTACAGACTACCAGCTGTACGGAGCTGCCGGCGGTGCGACCGCCGCCCCAAACTCCACCTCCTCCTGGGCGGGAGTGGACGGCGCCGAGGGCGGGGAGGGGGTGGAGGTCCCTGCAGGGATCCCACAGAGTGAGGCGGCCCTGGAGGCTCTGCAGGACTGCATCAAGAAAGTCCGCGAGGGCCCCCCCACGCTCACCACCGTGTGTTTTTACGCTTTCCACCACACGGAGCAGATGTTGAACACCGCCGAGGTCTCTGCTGACAGCCGGCTGCTGGCCGCCGGCTTTGACACCTCCACGGTGAAACTGTGGAGCCTCCGAGCCCGAAAACTGAAGGCCAAACCGCATCAGGCCGACGTGTCGCTCATCCACCTGGCCTGTGACGTACTGGAGGAGGAAGTGAGTCGACGGAAGCTGCACAATGATTATTATTTCTTTATCTGTCTGTTTTTATCAGAAGTTATAGAAAAATATTCAGTTTCCACAACTTCAAATCATCAGTTTTTAACCCAAAGATGAGGAACTGGACCCACATTTGGCATTTTAGTTTGCTGCTGTAAATGATTAATCGATTATTTAATTACTGTAAATTGCATTAATAATAAATTAAGTGACTAATTGACACACTTGACTAGAGAAGCAGATAATGTTTTCTTTTAGTAATCTGTTTATTTATCAGGGTTTTAATTAATTAAATACTTTACAGCATTATGGAGACTTTCCATTGCTTGTTAATAATATAACATTGATTATTTAGTTTGATCAGCAGCATTTAATATATGGAGATTTTAATCTCATACCATTAGTGAAACAGGAATGTTTGTCCTGAGTTATTGATCACTTCTAAGAAAATTAATTAACGATTTTAATAATTGATTAATCAATTTGAGTAATCTTTTTCTGTATGTATTTTGGGTTTTTTTTGGACAGTTGGTTGGGCGAAACAAGGAAATTATGATGGACAATTTAAAATTTTATGACATTTTATAGACAAAACATTTAAGGAAATAATCAACAGATTATTAAATAGATCATAAATTTGAATTGACCTAATAAACAAACAATATGAACCGACTGAAACAGTTTTGGACGGAGACGGCTAACGTTGGATGTTTCCATTGTTTCTGCTCAGGTGGATGAAGAAGACGGCTCCGGCAGCGAGGTAAAGACGCTGCGAGGTCACAGCGGCCCGGTGTTTCGTACCGCCTTCCTGACGGACAGCTCCGGCCTGCTCTCCTGCTCCGAGGACACAACCATCCGCTACTGGGACCTGGGTAACTTCACCAACACGGCGCTCTACCAGGGCCACGCCTACCCGGTGTGGGACGTGGACGTCAGCCCCTGCAGCCTTTACTTCGCCAGCGGCTCTCACGACCGCACGGCCCGCCTCTGGACGTTCTCCCGCACCTACCCGCTGCGGGTCTACGCCGGGCACCTCGCCGACGTCGACTGTGTCAAATTCCACCCCAACTCCAACTACCTGGCCACCGGCTCCACAGACAAGACTGTCCGGCTGTGGAGCACCCAGCAGGGGGCGTCGGTTCGCCTCTTCACCGGCCACCGTGGCCCGGTGCTGTCCCTCGCTTTCTCACCTAACGGGAAGTATTTGGCGTCCGCTGGCGAGGACCAGAGGGTGAAGCTGTGGGACTTGGCGTCAGGGACATTGTTCAAAGACCTGCGGGGACACACAGACAGCGTCACCAGCCTGTCTTTCAGCCCGGACAGCAGCCTGGTGGCGTCGTCGTCTATGGACAACTCCGTCCGGGTTTGGGACATCCGGAACTCCCACGGCGGGACGCCGGCCGACGGCTCGTCCAGCGAACTGGTGGGACTGTACACTGGAAACACCAGCAACGTGCTGAACGTCCAGTTCATGGCCTGCAACCTGCTGCTGGTGACGGGAACGGCACAGGAGAAAGCAGAACAGTAGCAACAGTAGCTGGTTTTTGTGTTTTATGTTTGGGAGAAAAGCTGGAATATCTCCAGATGTTTGTCATCAGTGAGACAGGAAACCACTGAGAGGTTCAACGCCACCCTCTGCCCCAGCAGCCACAGTGTCCTCGTTAGTTCTGTCATCACAAAGAAGCCAGGATAAATATCTTTATAGTCTCATTCTCCCAAAACTGGCTTAGATATTAGATCATTTGTCCTTGGTAGTATTTTCTAATTACCAAAGCATCTATTCTTCACTCAGTATCAGTATTAAAGAATTCCTCAGTTTCCTGTGTACCCCATGATTAAAAAGTTCTGGATCTCTGTAGTTTTATGATCTGTAAAAGCAGCATCTGCAAGACATCTGTCTAACCCAAATAGGAGCTGAAAATATAATATAAATATAAACCGAATCGATCTCTGGTGTACAGAATATTAGGAGTACAAACACAATGTTAGCTGTTTTACCCAAAGTCGTTTTAATAAGATCCAAATGAGCTTTAGCCAGGCTGGAACTGTTCCTCCGGTCTTTGTACCAATCTGAGTTAAACGTCCTGCGTCGAGCTAGTTATCATTTTAATTTCTCATCTCTAGTGATGATATGATATACCTGAGTTTGAAGAAAGATAAGTGGTGTTAACTCTCCATATTCAAGTTGGTATCGACCACAGGAGGTAAAATCTTTTGTTTGTTTTGGGAAGCACAGAAAAAACTACAAACATGGCAGCGTATCTCTGATAAAGTCAATTAAATAATAATTTTGCTGTTATTTGCTGTCAATCCACTCTGTCCTGCTGATATTACGAACTTTTTAAAGGCCAGTTAAAAAACCTAAATATTAAATAAACAATAACAATAGATCATTTATCAATAAAGTCCTCTTCCTTATCCGAATATATGAAGCAAGTCGTATCTTTTTAGTTTTAAGCGATGCTACAAATGTCAAATATGTTTTTTTGAATGAAGTTTTTCTTTCTGGAACAGAACCGATAACGAGTCCTGGTTCTGTGCTCGTCTGTTTACTGATCAGATCTTTTTGTTCTGACTTTGGGTAAGACAGCTAAGAAAGATACTGTTCTTTATTAAGGTCCTCTTTGTGTTTTACCTGCGTCACCTGATAGAAACGTATTTATATGTGAATCGGCAGCTTTCTCTCGTTCACATCTAAAAGGGGGAAAACTTAAAGTATGTTTTGCTGTTGATGCCTGTGGAGTTTAAAGACTGTTAACAGACTGTAAAGTGTCTAAAATGTCGAATATAAGGAGCTATGTGAACTTTTAAAACACTGCAACAGTGAGTAGTTGTACTTCTTACGGCGGCAGTGTTTAAAAAAAAACCTGTAAATAGTCCTGTTGAGGAAATTTCTAAGAATTAAAGGCTGTATTTTTCACACTATTCTGCAAGTGGCATGAACTGTGCAATGCTTAAAGTGTAAATATACTGTATTTTTGTAATATTCTGGAGAGTTGCCGACCAGTTCGTGCTTCATGGGGGCTAAAAAAAGAAACACTGACGTAGAAACAGATTTTTCTGGATTTGTTTTCATACTTTCAAAGTGTGATTGAGGATTTTATTTTTAGCATTTCATTTGTAAATTCAGCATTTGTCCATTTTTTTTTTTTATGTTTGTCAGCAAACTTTTGTTCCCTCCTGTAGCCCCCAAAACAAGGAATAAATAACAGAATCTATTTGAACTAACGCTTCAGTCGGTGTGTGACGTTCTGGGTTTAATCCTCTTTTTCTGTGCTGGGCCTCATCTTTGTGTCTTCTGCCTCTCTGTGAATAAAACACCCTGATAACAGTCGATAAACCCGACGTAACAGACCGGACAGACTGCTGGTTATACAGACAATCCTCGTTTTCACCACGTAACCACAGTTTTACGTACGTTACTACTATCTTACCATTGCAGCAGAACTGTGGGTGATATACAGGGACCTTTGCAGACTTTTCTTTACTGGGGTGGCATGACGTCATTCCCAATTTATTCCAGTATGCAGAAATATTCAAATACCACATTCAGTGTCTGCTAAATGGAGACTCTTTGGGTACCCAAAGAATCCAGATTCATTCAGATATCTTGAGGTCAGAGGTCCAGTTTCAGTTTTTCCATCGCCAAGTTAGCCCAACTTTGGAGCGTTATTTAGCCTGACATGGTGACAGAAAACGGAGACAGCTACAGCCTCTGTAAAATAAAGAGTGGTGAGGATGAAGGGGTTCATGGACCGGGTCCTGCTGATGTGTAGACGTCTGGAGTCGAGCTTTGATCGAGCCCAAAACAAGGAAGCAGTTTTTAAAAATTCACATTTTTGCTCAAGTAGCTTTTAGTTTAAGTGACACTGACATTTTTTATTTGTACTTTGAAAACAAAATACCCAAGTAAAGCAAACGTAATCAGGAACTTTTCTTTAACTTAGAAAACTTACAAATAAAAGCTGCTTAATCCATTATTATTATCATTTTTATTCAACCTTTATTTCCCTGGTGAAATAAAGGTTGAATAAAAATCTCTTTTCTGAGGAAGACGTGGCAGCGACAGCACAGCAGATACAATAAAAATAAATAAAAACACACTGAAAGGACGAAATCTGGTTCAAATAACGAAACATGGCTTTAAATTCTTCCAATGGGACCAGATCATTAAAGTGTAGTAAGATTTCCAAACAAAGTTAGAGAAAGTCTTTATTCTCCAGCACATATAACCTTCATGATTCAGGATTTATTATTCATTATTAGGAGTTGTATTAATTTTAGCTAGGTGGACCAAATAATGTGAATTTAAAGTGAATTTTTTCACATTAACTATAATTTTGGTGCCAATACATTTGTACTTTTACTGTAGTGTTATTTTAAAAGCAGGAGTTGTACTTATAATACAGTATTTCTACACTAATCGCACATAATAGTTATTTTTCCACCTACTTAAGGTCACATAGAATCCATTAAATGTGCGCATAAGCAAAAGCCTGACAGATGTTAATCTCACAACACAACACACAAGGGTGTAAATACACACACACACACACACACTCATCTAAAGAGATATGTAAGGAATCCAGTGTGTGTGCAGCAGGAATGTGGATGTTGTAGCTGTCGGACTGTCACCGTGCTGTGGGCGGCAGGGCGCAGCAGGGACGACGCCGGCACACCCAGACAGTGACAGACATCTGTAATCACGGCTGGGAGGGGTGCTTTGAAAATTTAATCCGATACAATCAATAATTACCTGTTAAAAAATGTCAAATAAAGACAGAGAAAATCAATATTAATTAAATTAAAGTCTTTGTTTTGAAACTCTTTCAGCATTTAGTATTTCTGTTGGTCCAATTTAATTTAATAAGGTTGATTTAACTAATTTTACAGTTGTAATATTACCCTAGTAAATTAAGTTGGCCCTAACAGAATTGCTTAATCATGAAAGAAAGCTGTTTAATCACATGGAAACACTTTCCATGATTCAATTAAGTAAAATGAAACAGAGTGTAACTACATGAAGAAAACATCAGGGTGGAATAAAAACCCAATTATTTGTTCATCTGAATTTAATTTAGTTTAGTTTAGTTACCACATACATTTACTCAAGTACCGAAGGTCCCGTGTGGAGGATTTAGTGGCCTCTAGTGGTGAAGTTGTGGACTAAAACTCACTCGTTTCACCTTTCCTTTCCAATCTCAAGGGAGGACTACGGCGGTTCAGCATGGCGGCCTCCACCCAAGGCGACCCGCAGCGTCTGTAGATAAAAACGTCTCATTCTAACGCAATGAAAACACAACAATCTTTATATTCAGGTGATTACACACGAATGAAAAGATACCTATGAATAATAACACTGGAGCCTTTAAGGCCGGCCACCGGGTTCGGATTCCCCTTGAAATCAATGAAACAGGGTCGTAGAGTCACTACCTCTTTTTGTCCACAGGGGGTCGCCAGAATCAACACCGACATTAAAGTTCCTTGTTGCTTCATGTTCGTGTTTTCGTTACCTCAGAATGAGACGTTTTTAATCTACATACAGACGAAGTTGAGTAGCCCAGAACGGGCAAACCAAACACTGCCTCTAGATAGGGCCATTTCAAGGCCACCGTAGTGTCTCACTCACTCAACTTCACCGCTAGATGCCATTAAATCCTTCACACTGGACCTTTAAATACAGTAGTTTCTGGTAAACTTCACACAAAAAGGTTCGAACCCAGAACCTTTTCTTGCTTTTATTAAGGTAGATAATCATAAATGGTTTGTACTTGTAAAGCACCTTTCTAGACTTCTGACCACTCGAAGTATGCCACGTTCACACAGCGATGAACTCATTCATTCATTCACATTCACACACCACAGCATTGGGATTTGGGGTTCAGTATCTTGCTCAACACTTTGATACGGAGCGGGGAAGAGGCTTGAACCACCAACCTTCTGATTAATGATCCGCTCTGCCTCCTGAGCCACAGCCACCCTAAGTACTTTGTTCACAGTAAGGTCATTTTCTTGTATATTCAGTATATATATCAGTTGTATAGTTGTATATTATAAAATGTTTAATACACAACACAACAACTCTTTTTACAGCTAAATTAAACACTAAAAGTCAGCCTTTAGAGGCTGTTTTGAATGAGATTTTAATCCATCTGTTGACAAACCATCAGGAATGAATTCTTACAGTTTCCTGCAGGCCAAACCCAAAGAGAGAGCGAGATAAGAGACAAGAGTGAGAGAGAGAGAGAGAGAGAGAGAGAGAGAGTCAGCAGGGGCGAGGTTCACTGCCAGGGGAGGATAAACCAGTTTCTGTCTGGAGGGTGTGTACCATCCAGCTCTACTGACCCGACAGGCTTCTCCCCGGCATCAGACACACAGCAGGTAGACGACTCGCTCCATCACGCCACCACCTCACCTCTCCTCCACGCACTGAGGTTCTTGGCCCCAGAAACATAGAAGAGGATGCCCCTCCACTCCACTCTGTCCGGCAGGAGCTCCGGCTCCACCAAGGCCATAGACACACAGTCGGACGGGAAGTCGTTTGAGCAGCTGAGGCAGGAGTGTCTGCAGAAGGGGGTCCTGTTTGAGGATCCAGACTTCCCCGCCACCGACTCCTCGCTCTTCTTCAGCCAGAGCGTTCCTGTGAACATTGAATGGAAGAGGCCCAAGGTATGTAGGCACATTCAGACTGATGCTCCGGTCAAAGCAGCATCCAGAAAAGAATGAAAAGCTTCTTAATCTTTCAAAATCAGTGGTTAAATCTGTTAAATTTAAGCAATTTGTGCCTTAAACTCAGTTTTTAGAGCGATAAATGAATGAAATGTTGTAGTTTCTGGGTGAAGTGTCACTTTATGGAGTCATGTTTTATGATATGATTGAACACTCTTTGGTATTTTTGTTATTTTTAGTGATAAAAACTGCTCATATTTACTGTTCTAACTCTGGTCTGGTACAACCTGAAATACATGAAAACCAATAAACTGCTGCACTAAAGCTCTACAGCAGTTGACCCTAATGAGTGTTAATAATCACACTGACTTTACATGTGTGTGTGTGTGTGTGTGTGTGTGTGAGTGAAGTGAGAGTTTATTTAAAGTTTTTTTTATTGCTTTTAACACACAAAGAAAGAAAAAAAAGCAATTAAGCATTTATCCAGCGGTAGCTTACAAAACCAGTTCTGCTGGAAAGCAGTGTAAATAGATCCAAGTGCAGGGACAGTTTCTACACTCTGAGCGTTGCACACAGACTTTATCCCCACACGCCTCGGTGTTATCGGCAGTAAAACTGTCTGCAGCTCGCTGGTTTTAAATTAAGACATCTGTGTGAAGCCTTTTTTTATTTCTTTCATGAGATCTTTAAAGCTGTGGCTCGTTTCGGCTACATTACACTTCAAATTCAAAGTGTTTCTTTACGCTTTATTTCCAGCATCTCTACCTGTTAACGTGTCTTCAGCACTGACTGCAGGAAACTCACCACTCTTCTTTATAATGACACATTTCTCTGTTGGGCGTTGCTTCAGAGTAAATGCTTCAGCTGCCGGGGTTCAGTGTGTGTTTTCTCTGTTCCAGTGCCTGGGATTTAAAAGGCTGATTAATATGCCAGGAATGTGAACACACCTATCAAAGGAACCTGTGTCACCTGTGTCAAACTGTCATTTGTAGTTTTTCGTTAAATAAAAACCAACCCTGTTTCTTTTCTCGCCACAGGAGATCTGCGACAACCCAAAGTTCATCGTAGGCGGCGCAGACAGGACAGACATCTGCCAAGGACAGCTCGGTTGGTGCTCTGATTTCTCTGCACAGGGGTCCTTTATGTGGGTTTTTTAAGCACCTATTTCACTAATTTTTACCCACGATGCACCTGTTTCTCACCACAGGGGACTGCTGGCTCCTGGCAGCCATCGCATCCTTGACGCTCAAAAAGGACTCCATGGCCCGAGTCATCCCCCGCGACCAGGAGTTCGACCACAGATACGCCGGGATCTTTCACTTCCAGGTACGCTGGCGGCTGATTGGCTGCAGGCGTCTGAGTGGAGACGGTTGATTGGTTGCTTCAGTCTGCGTCAGGAAGGAGAGAATAAATCTCTACCTTGTAAAAAAGACACAAATAAACCAGACAGATTCATTCAGAATGGATGGGATTAACTATGTGGCGCCTGAAGTTTAATAATCAACATTTAATGGTTAAAAACCCTTTAATACAGTTCATTAACCCTCCGCTCATT